CCTGGGCTACCAAGTGAGTCCCAGGAAAGGCGCAAAGCTACACAGAGAAACCCTGTCTCAAAAAAAACCAAAAAAAAAAAAAAAAAAAAAAAAAGGAAAAAAAGGGAAAGTGAGAGCCCCGCCCACCTCTCCCTGCCACTGTTTCCTGGCCACATGACCAGTGGTTCTGCTCTGCCATGTATTCTTGGTATGATAAGCTACCCCATCACAGACCCAGATCAATGAATGGGACTGACCAGTCATGGACTGGAACCTTCAAATCTGTTAGCAAAAGTAAACATTTTCTAACATAGTATTGTAACAGAATTCTTTCCTTCAGCCACATTTTATTCCTATTGTTTTAACACATCTTAGTTACCTTAAGTTAGCCCAAATCATAGTGTGTCAAAACTTTGTTTTTCTTAGTACATCAAGATCAGAAGATATTGAAAATAAGCCACTGTTTATTGGGGTTATTTCATTAGTCCTACTTTGCTATTTTCATCCCTATTCATTTCTTTTATCCATTCATGTACATGCATACACGTGTGTGCATGTGTACACACATACACACAACACACACACACACACAGTGGAAGGAGATCACTGTTTTTAAGTTTCTTCTTTACCTTATAATACATTGATCAGAACTGGAGATTACAGAAATGCTAAGGGGGAGGTGATGAATGATTAATTATCAAAGGGTCACATAAAAATTTCTAGGCTCAATTCATGCTAAATGATTTCAACTATTAATAGTTTCTTGTACCCCTTTGCAAATACCACCATTAACCTGCTAAGCATAGACTGTATATGTACAGTGTTCAAACAGTAGGTACATAGAACCTGCCTTTGTCAAATGTATCATTTTTCATTAATTAAGAACATAGTCAAAATATATTTTACATGCTTGAAGACATTATAGTAACTGTCTCTAACCTAACCTAACATTCAGTGTAAATTTTGCTGATATCATATCAGTGCCTTGAAGGGGGGTAAAACCAGGCAGTATTTACAGCAAATATTCTACGCTGTGCCTGTCCAATGACACCTCTAACTTTCCTTGACAGTTGAGCAACTCAGGGAAGACCAGTTTTCTGTCTGCTTCGCCTCACTTCCAACAAGGAAGGGCAGCCCAGCAGGCATTTCAGGGGACACTTCCTAGTGGCATTTGTCACATCAGCACGGAACCGCTCCCACCCCTTACTTTCTTGTTTTGTTGCAGCTGTCCCTTCTTCTGCTCTGACACGTTCCCTCTCTTTCCCTCTCTCTCGTGGGGCTCTTCCACATTTCACTGACTGGCAGCACAAACCATGGGTTTAGTAAGCAGATGAGTGACAGCAGCTGAGGAGAACCTGCTGCCACAGCTGGTGACAAAATGATCCAACTGGCTGGTGTCGAAGCCCGTCAAGAGCTTCAAAGCGACTTTAGAGATGGGACGAAAAGAACCGCGACATTTGATGTATTGAGGAGGAACTAAACCCAAACAGCAGCCACAATGGTCAAGCTGACTTGAAACAAAACACAGCCATGAAGTCCTACTCCGGGAGGGACAGTTTAGTAGCTGGCCCTTAGTTACTGCGGGCACACAGAGGGAGTCACCCCTGAAGTCTTCCCATGCTGTGCCCTGGCCTGGTGGACAGATGTGCTTGTTTCCTGGACAAAGCCCTTCCTTGGTTTCCTCTAAGACTCGGGCACCTTCAATGCAGCCCGCTGTCCCTAATCCATGCTATACTCAGCTTCCCTCACTCTTTCTCAGTCTACAGAGCACCAAGGAGACCAGGTACACATGGTCCAACACTCAGAGTCAAGGAACCAAGATCCTGCCAAGAAATAGTCTTCAAACCTTTAGGACTCAGAGTCACTATTTACTGTTAAAAGAGTTTAAAGACTCCAAAAACTACATCTATGTGGGATACTTTCCTTGCACTGTCTCAGAAATTAAAACTGAGAAAATTAAAAAGTTTGACATTATTAAAATATACTGTTTAAAATATTTCAAAGGAATCTCCGAGGCTATGTCTCAGTGGTACCTCACATACTTATCATGCATGCGGCTCTGAATTCAGGTCCCAAAATGTAAAAAATAAAATAAAATAAAATCTTACATTAAAACCATGTTTATTGTAGGTTATATTTATTATATTATCTTATAAATTAAAACACAGTTCTAAAGTACTTCCTTACTGACTCATTAAAACCAATAATGAACTTATTCCATGATAACATAAACATCTTCATGAAAAAAACAATGGCTTCCCACCACCTCCCACAAAGAATCAGCCACAACAACAAAACCCCGATAAGACTGACACGACTTTGCAAACTTCAACATTTTGCTCCGTGATGCCAGCTGGGTTCTCACACATACGTCTGCATTTATTCTACTAGTCTATGCTGCTCACGCTGAAGTACCCGAAGCCAAACCCAGCGTCACACAAACATATACTTAGAAAAGGGGAGTATTTTTGGAAGCTTTTCCAAATACTGTTTGCTAGAGTACCAAACTTTTCCCAGTGGTGATTCTGAAAGGTTAGCTACTGCATGGAAACCCAAACAAGAGCACCGAATGTTCAGTGCTACATTCCATTAAAATCCATCGGTCCCCTTTGCCCTTTGAGCGGATCTTTACCTGTGGATGATTTTTAAGCACCATCAGTTTTATAGATCTTCTAAAGGTTATTTCATTACACAATATAAATGCCATACAGTGTAAACAAATTGTATTCATGCATATGGCCCACCAGCAATCTCATCCGAAAAATCTCAAAGTACTGGGGGGCTGCCATAGAATGGTAGATATAAGTTTTCCAACATTCCATTTCCATTTGAAAATTCCAATTTATTACTGACAACAAATATTGTCAGGTTTTAAAGTGTCAATCTTACTTTTCTCATTAAAAAAAAAGTCTGCTGAATCTGATAACAATAGTTGTCAGTTTGTTTTATTAAAAACGGTTTCTTGTGGGTGGGAGGGTATGGAGAGTCTTAGCTGACAAGAATCTATTCATGAGGGCTTTTCCCAAAGCCTCTCACTGTACTTCCATTGCATATCAAAGAAATGATTCGTCCTCATTTTATTACGCAGAATATTAAATGGACATGTCCTCAAGTTGAAATTTAATACAACTAGAATTGTTCCCTGCCTCATTAGGAATAGTCTTAAGTAAAACTGACTTGACTTTTTACAGGGATGGGATGTAGCTAGAAGTCTGGACTGAAGTTTCTGCCTTGATTTATGGCAACATTGTAAGATTTGTACCTATCATGACTTTTGTACCATGATCAATACAGTGGAAAAGGCAATGCAATGCTATCTTAGTAGTAACTGAAAAACGTTATGACATCCAGAATCCTCTTGAAGGGTCATGGGGAACCTCAGAGGCCCATGACCTACCTATACTTTGTGTATCCCAGCTTCGAAAAGAAGTTGAAAGAACTAATGGGATTCTATAAAATTAATTTTTGCACAGCAAGCAATTACCAGATTGAAGAGACATCACATAGAACGGGAAGAAAGGTAAACTTCTAATTAGACATGGGTTCATACACGGAATATACAAACAACTGCAAAAGTTAAACAGCAAAGCCTCAAATCATTCAATGAATAAATGGGTTAATGAACTAACTAGATAGTTTTCAAAAGAAGAAATCCTAAGTCAATACATATTTGAAAAGGTGTTGGGCATCCTTAAGCATTAAGGAAATGCTAGTTAAAACTGCTCTGCGATTTTATCTTACCACAGTTAGCATGGCCATCATCAAGGAAACCAACACCAGCAAGTGTGGGTAAGAATACAGGGAAGGAACAACCCTTTTGCACTGGGATGAAAACTTGTATAGACACTGCAGAAATCAGTACCTGGGGTGGGAGTGGGTCTTTGAGTTATTTTTCTATTGCTGGGACAAAACACCATGACCAAGAAGCCAACTTATGTAAACAGCATTGAATTGGGCTTATAATTTCAGAGGGTTAGAGACCATAATAGCAGGACAAAAAAAGACATGGTATCAGGAACAGCTGAAAGCTTGCTTCTTGATCAACAATCAAGAGGCAAAGAGAACATACTAGAAATGATGTATGTTTTTAAAGCTTTTAAAGCCCATCCCCATGACATACTTCCACCAACAAGGTTATACCACTTAATTTTCTGCAAATACTTCTACCAACTGGGGGCCAATCATTCAAATATATGTGCCTTATAATTAGTATATGACCCAGCTATAATACTCCTGGTAGATACCAAATGACTGTAAGTCAACATACCACAGAGATACTTGCACATCTAAATTAATGGATACTTTATTCACAATAGCCAGTTTCAGAAAGATACATTTTCTCTTGCATGCAGTGTGTATGTATGTATGTATGTATGTATATAATATACATATATACACATATATATTATATGCACACACATATATATTCATACCCACACACAATGTAGTGGGAGAGAATGCCAGACAGATAAAGACACAAATATGAAACCAAAACAGGGAAAAATGGGAGGGTAAAGAGAAAGGCAGAGAGCACTGAGGGAAGATGATTAATTAAAAAAAAAACTGTACTGATATATGTGTATGAGATATTATAGTGAAACCTATTACTTTGT